TTGTGAACCCCTAGAACTTCCAGGGCGCTGCACAGCAGGCGACCTGATTATACTGGACTCTTTTTTTCTAATTTTTTCTGTTAATATTTCATGTAATTTGTTACTACTCCAATGTTTCAATGGATGTGCACTGGGTCTTTTGGATTCTAATGTTGTTATGGATTTTAATTTGTGTGGAAACGTGTATTTCAGTGGAGTTTTGTGGTAAGATGCTTGAGAGTATGGACTATACACCTGCCATCTTGGAACCTAATACAGAGCCTAAGCCCAAGGCTCTAACCGAACAAATCCCTAGCACAAAACGTAAGAAGAGAGGACGTAGAGGAGGAATACGAGTTAAGTGTAGAAGAAGAGGACAAAGAGGCTTCCTTACACCCATCGTAACAGGCAATGTTAGGTCTTTACAAAATAAGATGGAAGAATTAACAGATGGCTGTGAACATCTGTATCAATTTAGAGAGTGTTCTTAATGTGTTTCACTGAAACCTGGCTCAATGACACGATACCCGACTCTTCTGTTGATCTTGATAAATTTTACGTTTATAGAGCAGACAGAACAATTAATAGTGGGAAGTCAAAAGGAGGAGGACTGGCAATCTATATAAACAAGGAATACTGCAACGCCAATAATGTGAACAGGAATAAAATTTGACCCTAACATTGAACTTATGTGTGTCACACTTAGGCCTTACTACTTGCCTAGAGAATTCACCCAGGTGTGTGTTGTTGTTGTGTACATACCACCGACGGCTGACACAGCGACTGCGTCGGAAATAATTTTTGATGTGCTTCACAATGTACAATCAAAACACCCGGACTCTGTTTGTATCGTAACTGGAGATTTCAACAACCTAAATATTGACAACACACTGCCAAACTATTGCCAGTATGTCTCCCTCCCCACAAGGCAGGGTAGAATGCTCGACAAATGCTACGTAAACATTAAGCAGGCTTACAAATGTAAAAGTTTGTTCCACTTGGACAATCTGACCATGTATTAGTCCATCTTATACCAAATTACAAACCTAATCTTAAAACTATAAAGAGAGTTATAAAAACGGTCAAGATGTGGTCTGAAGAGGCTGTAGAAAAACTATGAGGATGCATTGAGAAAACTAACTGGGAAATGTTTATTGAAAACTGTCCAGACATAAACGAACTTACAGAAACTGCTAACTCGTATCTATCATTCTGCGAGGAGTTAACAATTCCAACAAAAACAATACAAGTCTATGGAAACAATAAGCCCTGGATGACCGAAAAAATCAAACACCTTATTACTGAAAAGAAAACAAAGTATAAGGCTAGCAACGAAGAGTTTATAAATGCTAAAAATAAACTGAGAAAAGCAATAATTGAAGGGAAAAAAACATACAAAGAAAAAATTGAGAATTTCTTTGCAAAGAACAGCTCAAAACAATGCTGGGAGGGATTAAAGAAAATAACAGGCTGCGCCTCAAAACGAGAACAAATTTCAGTGGCTGATGATGAGAAATTTGCCAACGAACTAAATTATTTTTATTCTCGTTTTGACAAAGAAGATTTTGTTGATCTACACAAAGAACTTTTCAACACTCTGTCCAAAGGAAAACAAGAGCCTTATGTCAATTTTGTAACTGAGGATGAAGTGACCTTGTTATTTAAAAGAGTAGACGTAACAAAAGCTTCTGGACCAGACAAAATTAGTGGCAAGCTGATCAAGCTATGTGCCGAGCAAATCTCTTCTATCTTCTGTCATATCTTTAACCAGTCATTGCAAACGTGCGTAATTCCACACATCTGGAAAACTTCAGAGATCATACCAGTGCCTAAGAAACCAAAAATAGATTGCTTAAATGCTTAGTTCTTTGAGTAATCTAGCTGGAATACCATCAGGTCCAGATGCTTTATTTGGTTTGTCATATCTTTAACCAGTCATTGCAAACGTGCGTAATTCCACACATCTGGAAAACTTCAGAGATCATACCAGTGCCTAAGAAACCAAAAATAGATTGCTTAAATGATTTCCGCCTAGTAGCAGTAACACTTATTGTTATGAAATGTTTTGAAAAATATATGCTAAAACAACTTGTAGCAAAGTCAACAACAGCCTAGATAGACCCTCACTAATTTGCATACAAAGCAGCTAGAGGAACTGAGGATGCCATTCTATTGCTTTTGGACCAGCATCTCGATATACCCAAAACATACGCACGAGTCCTCTTCGTAGATTTCTCCTCGGCTTTCAATACCATACTGCCACATCTAATGATAAACAAACTGAGTAACTTAAATGTAAGCCCTTACAAGCATGGGTTCTAAACTTTTTAACCCAACGGCCCCATTATGTTAAAGTCAACAACACCAAATTGTCAACTCGAGTACTATGTACGGATGCTCCACAAGGTTGTGTATTTTCTCCTGTACTATACACTCTTTACACTAATGACATAAGAAGCATCTATGACTCAGTTAAACTCATTAAACTCGCTGATGATATTGCCATAGTCAGTCTTATTCAGGAGACGAAACTCAGTATCGAAGCTCGATTGAAGAGTTTACAAACTGGTGCACCGACAACTTTCTAGAACTGAATGTAGCAAAAACTAAAGAACTTATAATAGATTTTAGAAAGAAAAAACATACTATACGTGAACTGCAAATAAACACTACATCTATAGAACAAGTAAAGGCATATAAATATCTAGGCGTTATCATCAACAACAAGCTTTCATGGGAAGACCACCATGGAACTCTGACAAAGAAAATAGCCCAGCGACTCTTTTTTCTATACAAACTCAATACCTTTAAACTAAGCAAGAAGATCCTTGAGACATTTTACGGCGCGACTATACAAAATCTGCTAACATACGGAATAACTTGTTGGCAAGGCAACGCCTCATCTAAACTGTTGCGACGTCTAGAAAACATCATTAAAAAATCATCAAAAATTGCACTTACAACATTACCACATTTAAAGGAACTTTTTGAACAAAAGTGCCTAAGAAAAATCGAAAAAATCTTGGAAGACAACGGCCACCCGCTCCATGAGAACTACGCCAGGTCGTCGCGAAGTGGGCGACTGCTGTCAATCTAAACAAGAACGGAGCGGTACAAAAACTCGTTCGTACCTCACTTGGTCAGACTCTTATCACTGCCACTCATTGATCAGGGAACATGAAATGCACCAAGATACCTGATACCTGTGTGTAGTCGCTGAATGAACTCTTTATGTTGTCTGTTGTATTTGTGTGTATTTTTCTGTTGTGTTGTCTTTATATGAGAAAAGAGTCCTTGTAATCACAACAAATTTCCGTAAGGATCAATAAAGCAGTCTTAGTCTTAGTCTTAGAATCTCATTTCATGATCATACCTCTCCCCACATGTCCACAAAAGATATTGGGTCATAGTGCACTGAGCATGTTATAGCATCAAGTTTCACCTTATAAAAGCTATGAACAACAAAGTATCAACAAAGAAATCATCATTTCATCTGATGGTGAAAATTAATTTTACTAGCTCTTTTTTTCCCCATTCTTTTATCAGAAAATGTTCATTTTTTTTTTGTGTTTGTTTGTTCAGGTTTCTCAGTTAATGGACAGGTTCGAACAGCAATTTGAAAATTTAGATGTACAGTCACAGGTAATGGAAAATACAATGATGAATTCATCAACACTTACCACACCTCAGAATCAAGTGGATGCACTCATGCAGGAAGTTGCAGATGAGGCAGGGTATGTGTAACAGAAAAATAGTTGAACTTAATTATTGCCTCAGGGCTGAAAATGCTTAAACAAAAACTATTGATACAAATATTTCTAATCATGCAGATTTATTATTGTTAGTATAGATTTATTACAATTTCAATCACATGACTGATCTAATCTAATTGATACAATTACATTTAGTATAAGCTTTGTTATTTAAAAATAGTAATTTTATGTTTTTGTTACAATTCACCCTGAATATGGCATCTTCTTTTAGAGCTATGACATTTAATTAAGGCTCCAGTGTGCAACTCACACTTTGTAAAACTTAAATGCCAGCACTGCAGGAAACGAAAGTGTGAAATAAATAAATAATTTATAGGTATACCTTTTTTGAGAAGAGCAGTGACTTGAAGCTCACCAATCTGAGCTAGACCCCAAGTGCTGACAAAACAAAAGTAATCAAGCTATATTTTAATTAATATTTTGCTGATTATTTTTACAAGTTCCTATCTTCCCCCTTCTCTTCAAGAGGCCAACATTATTTATACATTATTTATACATTGATTGTCTTTACCATTGAAAAATAGGAAATGTTGATTATGAAATGAAAACATTAGATGCAACTAAAACTATTCTGTTTTGACAGGTTGGAGTTAAATATGGATTTACCCTCAGCGCAAGGTTCAGCTATAGGAGCAACAGGATCAACACAAGCTTCAGCTGAACAGGTGAATATTTCTTTCTTTTAGTCTGACTTTAAAATATGTTTTCTTTATCATAGATTCCCTTAAATTAGTCATGATTATAAGTTCATGTTGCATACAATTAGAATCAATAATATTACAATTTTATAATGTTGGATAATTTGCCATTTTTCCTCAGGATGAATTATCTCAAAGACTGGCTAAGCTTCGTCAGATGTAAATCACAGTATCACGTTTAGCATTTTCAATTCTATTCATCTCCAACAAAACTCATTTCAAAACTATAATTATACTTTTTTTTTTCCTCCATCTATTTTTCTACAAATTCAGATCTTTAAGCTACATATAATAAGGCTCTAGATTCAGTTGTGGAGCTTGTGAAGTTAAGCTTTATTAGTCAACTTTAATCTTGCTTTACTAATACAGAAAGTTTTTTGGACTAGAGTTAAGTTTTAATTCTACAAAGTTATATGTACTGTCTAGTTTAAACTTTCCATATAGGTGAAGCTGGGTTGCATCCGTTTGTATAAGTCATAACCTGTATTAGTAATAGCTCCAAGTATCATAGTTTTGGAGTATAGTAGTTCTTCCATCAAGATAAAGTGGAGTTTTTTTTTTTTTTTTCATATATAAATTTCAAAATGGGCAGAATTTCTAACAGTTTGACATTTCTTAAAATTACAATAAGTATGCAGTTTCCAACTGTCTCTAAATTGAATATATTAAGAATGTTAAACTCATTGTTTCTGGACTCTTCTAGCATGCAGACTATACCAAAAGATTTGTGCCTATTAAGCTTTCTTTAAACTATCCCTTTTTTTTTTTTTTTAAAAACCCTGTATTGTGTTTTATCTACTTAGAATACTTGAGATCCACTGTTTTCAGACTCCTTACTCATCTGTATTGTTATTGTGTAAAAGAACATTTCTGTCTGGTCTCTGATCAGTGCCAATGAGCTTGTATATAGTTAGGTCATGCTTGTATGTTAATGTCGGAATGGCACATTTCTTTCCGAGCATATTTAATTTTGTAAATATTACCATGTAGAAATCAACATGAAAAAAGTATTGCAATTCTGGTATGTCAAGGGCAATTTCAATACTTGTGAAACATTTTCATACTAAGGCCTGAGTGAAACTATGTTGTGTGAAACATTTTCATACTAAGGCTTGAGTGAAACTATGTTGTAAAATAATTCCTTGCTGAAAGGAATATATAAAAAGTCTAGAAATGCTTAGGCCTGTAGTTGTCAGCAGTAAATAACAACACATAATTGAATATATGAGTGTGGACCTGACTGGTGTTTTTAAAGTCAATGCATTTTTTTAACAAAGAAAAAAAAACTTGATACAATAGAACTGTGTTTGTGTTCATTTTTTCCTTCTGAAATTGTCCTTATGATCTTAATTTATAGAAATAACTATTCGAATATATTGATTGAATAAATGCAAAGTTGATCACAAAGCAGATCTCTGTCTGTTTCCATTAGTCAAATGTTGTGCTGCCAGTCAGTGAAGAAAATACTAAAGCTTAATGAAATATGTAACAATTATTACATTATAATGACTGTGATAATGCCATATGTAAATAGAAAGAAATAGATGATAATTAATGCTACTGGAATGTTGTCATCAATATTTATTTAAAAAAAAAAGAAAATCAAAGGAACTAGCACACTACAGCAACTGTAGGTGATAATTCACACACACAATACATCAGCATCAAGTCTCACAGACCCCCCCCCCCCCCCCCCCCCCCCCCCCCCAAAAAAAAATACTGCTGATAAGGGAGGAAGATTATTTTTTATGGGACAAAAACTCTTAGCACTGTACTGATAAATTCCTTTATGAATATAAAAGTAAAAACATTACATGTATTACTTTTTCAGAAATTATTTTAACTAAAAGAAAAACCCTTTTCATTTCTAAGTACGACCCTTTAGAATGTAGGCTATACCTTTTAGTTGAGAGGTGTCTGTGACAAGATCCATTCACATTTTTTTTTTCAAGAAGAAATTTCCATACATCTTTACTAATGGCATTCTTCTCGACTTTCTTATGTCACAGTTTCTAGATCATTTAGGCTACTTATTGATATTTTAACCCATTTTTTTTTTTTGTAATCCTCTCCTAAGTCTAGATCTAAATGCTTATCAATTGGAGTATTATAAAGTGTACTATGATCTATACATTCGCTTAAGCACGATTCTTTCTCGAGGAAAAGGGAGGAGGGGGGTTCTGTTGTTTTTTAATCTAACATGCATTAATTTTTAAGAAAAAAACAAAGGAGGTATTGTCTTTTTTAATGTTTAAATAGGCTTTAGAAATTCAAGTACATTTTTAAAATGTACACAAGTCTCGTATCACAACTAACAAACTATTGAAGATACAAACAGTTTCTGATAAAGTAGAGTATATTAGAACAGAGGTGTCCCCGAAATGTTTTGTAGACTAGCAGTCAGCAAGTAGAGTATATTAGTTCAGAGGTGTCCCCGAAATGTTTTGTAGACCAGCAGTCAGCAAAGTGCTTCTGAAAGAGGTAAATGGGACATATATAGAAGTCATCTACACAGGTAGAGATTTGCACGTAAAATGTGCTGTGCTCTTCTTCAAGACAAAGCCTTTATTAATCCAAGGTTTCAGAGTTTCAATAATATATTGATTCTTATCATCTTATATAAAACAGACGTTACTTCAAAAAAGAAGATGATTACATCATACGCGTCATGCATGCTAACCAATGACTTAAATTTTCCTGGGTTGGCTCAGGCAACCCATTCCATGCTCTAATAGCACTTGGGAAGAAGGAGCATTTGTCCTAGCATATGGAACGAGGGATGTGGCTTTATTTTTGTGTCTTTCTGAGTATTTTATTAGATTTTGTATTTGAGGATTATGGTTCAGTGTTTGCTACTTTACTTTTGAGTCTTCTCTCCTGAAGGCTTTCTAAATTTAGTGATTTAACTATAGGTTTTACTCTAGTCAAATGTGAATATTCATAAGTTATGAATCTCACTGCTCTATTTTGTGTCTATTCAAGTGCCTTAATTTTTTCTTGAGTTGAGGGGTTCCCAAACAGAGGATGCATATTCTATTATTGGCCTAACCAAGGTTAAATAACATTTTAGTTTTATGTTCTTATTTGATTTATAGAAATTTCTTTGAATAAGCCCTAATGCTTATAATTTCACCAATATGGGGATTCTATGTCAGTTTTTCATTTATTTTAACACCTAGGTATTTTGTGTTTTTAGTCTGTGTTACAGGTTTACCATGAATAAGATAAGTGGAATTAATGTTTTAGTTGTTGTTTTTTTTGTTACCCTTAAATAACTGTCATTTTTTTCTGGGTGGAAAGACAAGCTCCAATTCGATTCCCATTTTTGTAATTCATCTAATTCTCTTGTAAAATTTCTGTAACTTGTGTTGCTATTATTGTTCTATATATCATGCAATCGTCTGCAAATAATCTGACTTTTGTTCTTGAACTAATGCAATGTGGTAAATCATTTATGTAAATTAAAAATAGCAATGGACCTAAGACTGTTCCTGGAGGGTACACCTGAGTTTACTGTTATTGATGTTGATTTAGAACCATTTAGTTTGTTCTCTCCCTATCAGAAAATCCTTAATCCATTGGTGCAATTGACCAACAATGCCAAAACATTTTAATTTTTTAAGCAAACTATGGTTGTGAGCTTTGTCAAAAGCCTTGGAATAATCTAATAAGATAGCACACTATTATCTAAACCTTTTGAAAAATCATCAATTCTATTAGTTGTGTTTCACATGATCTATATTTCCTAAAGCCATGTTGGTATGGAGTAAGGACATTATGTTTGTCTAAGTGGTTTATGATGTTGCTACATATTATGTGTTCTAGCATTTTACATGTGATGCTGGTTAGTGATACTGGTCTGTAGTTTCCTGGATCAGATTTTTCTCCTTTTTAAATTAGGGGGGTAACATTAGCTTCTGGTTTAGAGATTCCTGAAAAAGTACTTTGAACACTGGTGCTAGCTCAGTGCTTAGTTCTTTGAGTGATCTAGCTGGAATACCATCAGGTCCAGATGCTTTATTTGGTTTGGTGTTAGCTAATAGTTTTTGAATTCCATTTTCTTGTACTACTAAATCTTCTATGTTGTCTACTTGGTTCAAATTAAGAAATATGTTTTTGTCTCCTGGGGCTGAGAATGCTGATGCAAAGTATTTGTTTAGGATGTTTGCTTTAGTTTCATTATCATATGTCAATTTAATGGTGCTACTCCTGTTGTTGTTTCAATTTTCTCGGACTTTGTTGTTATCCTTAGTTATTACATTGTTTATGTATTCACTCTGCAGCTGTCTCCTTAATTTTTTGTTAGTGTTTAATTTTAATATACTTTTTATAAACTCTTTCTGCCTTAGTTTCTTTAAATTTTCTATACAAGTTTTCCTTCTGTTTACAAAGCTTCTTTATTATTGAAACAGCATTTATTTGTTGTGTTTGATGACATTTTTTGTTCAGTTGCCCAAACATATTGCTTGCCTGCTAGAAATGTAAAAACATATTTTATCCACCCCCCCCCCCCACCCCCCCAAAAAAAAAACCATTTATGGAAGTGTGTATGAAAAAAAAATAATGCAAGAGATTTCTTTTAAAAATAAAGTTTCTAGTTGCAAAAGAAAACAACAAAAAGTCACAAGTCATTTCTTTATTCTCTGTTTCTATGTGAGTACATCAATGGATCTCTTGAGTCTGGTGTGGACAATAAATAGGGGATTAGATTATTACTGAATAGATTGAAAAAAAATTATTTTAGATTTACCTGTGGCTACTCATTATATATATATATATATATATATATATATCCGATATACATATATGTAGCTTATCTTTTGATTCAACAGTCAATAATAGAAAACTGACTTAGAGCTAGATTTGTATATATAGATGTATTGAAACTAGGTATACAATCAAACAATACTATGTTAAAAATATCACAAATGCAGAAAATACTATCACCAATGACAAGAGAACAAAGCTTGTGGTTCCCAGTAGATCTGGACATTTAGTCAGATGATGGTCATACTGTCTAGTTCACCAGTTAGACTAGACCAATCATCCAACACTAGAGTGCCACTTATCAAAATGGCTTGAAAACATCACTCAGAATTATAAAAAGAAAATTGTATGACAAACACTTAATAAATGAATAGTTTAGATATATAATGAACTCAAAAAAAAACAACTTTATACTATATTGATATACTATTCAGCAGATGATCAAATAATAATTTGAAATGAAAACTTTATCTATTACAGAGAAACAGACTAATATTTTGAATTACTAACTACCAACAAGAAGTTCAATACAATGAACAAATGACTGAGACATGCAACAATGGCCTCAATAGAAAACATGTTAAATGCATTCTGGGCAACAATGAACACAATACTATTAATGCTTTGACAAAGCAGTCATTTCTGAATAAATAAACAAATGCAAGTAACAAATGCAAGATACATGTTTCAGAAATACAAGCTTTCAAGTTATGGGATTCACCTTCCTGGCAAAAAAAAAAAAACCAACTGATATCACATGATTATTGGTTAACCAAAAATTCAACAGATATTGCTAAAAAGTTAACAATTTGTTTAATACGTGACTAATTACCAGATCTAGGTCTAGTAAATCAATAGAATGCCTGGTATTAAATATGACTATGTATACTGACCATGAAATGAAGGACTAAGTATCTCAGTAGTGCTAGATTCTATCTATTGAATTTTTATAGAGCATCTGGTATGTCTTCATCAGCATAATAAAGAGAATTCAATGACTGGCTTTTCTCTTCATCTCTGAGTAAAGAGGAACTTTCATTGGCACTGAGAGAGTCAGATGAGTCACACCTTGAAACATGACTCAGACTAGCCAATTGGTTCTTTGGGCTGTGGTCAGACATGAAGCTAGATCTATTGTCAGTGTGGACACTGGTAAGTGGCACATTTTGATTGTAACCTGGTTTATTCATTACATCCATCTTGTAGGTTCCACTGGAATAATTATTGCCACTAGCAGGGGAGGTCAACGTTTCATTTCTAGATTTTGTATAGACAGGAGAGGAATAAGTGTAAGCAGGGGGGCTCAAACAGTCACTAGCTGCTGTCTGTGGTCCACCACTTTTGAAGGTCAGTGGGCCTTTAGTACAGCTACTTCCAACAGATTTTTCATATCTGCTGACCAGACCATGAACAGATGAGCTGTGAGTGTCTGTCCTGCCAGTCTGTAAATTTAATGTGGTGGGCTTAGAAGGGACATTGGACATCTTGCTTGCCTGTGACATGTGCTCAACATTAGACAGTTTGTGAACATCTGAATCAAGATTTGAACCAAATGGTCTGCTGTACTTACTAACATTACAGGTGTCTTGTACTTTAGGGCTTCTAGGAATCATTAGGGGGTGAAAGGAAAGGTTGGATTTAACAG